AGCATCCGAGTTCAAAACTTTTGTTGTATCTATACTTTGAAGTTCGTTACATACTATAAGTTTCATATTCTCATTGAAGAGTTAAATTTACCGCAGATGTTTTCTAAGTTTGTCATATTCGGATTCGAATAACCTTCTAACAGTTTGCATAAGATATCTGTAAAGAAAGTGTTCTTACCTGTTCCTTGTTTTCCAATTATAATGAGAGCAGTTTCATTTTTAGCACTTGGATATTGTAAGATGTTTGCAAACCAACATAAGATATACTCATAGACTCTTTCGTTTCCATTGCATATAATTTCTTTGACATGGTCTAACCAAGCTTCTATAATATTTTCTTTCCATTCTACTTGTTCATATTTATATCCAGTGAAGATAGAATAGAAGTTTGGAGAAGGTGTATAAAACTTTATACCTCGAACTGAAAAATCTTCTAACTTTGACAATAAGATATCCCAAGCATCTAACATCTTCATTCCAACCTGTACGACTTTTATTTTCTTAAGTTTCTGTCTACATTCTTGTTCTGAAACTATTGTCGCTCTTGGTTTGTTAAAGACAACATCCCATTCTTTCATGACATAACATTCTGGGGCAGAGTCGACATAAATGACTAAACGTTTCAAATTCTCGACTGCTTTGTTATAGTCTCTAAATGGACACATATTTCTGAACGCTTGGAAGTCATAAAAATCTGAAACGTCTATTCTGTACATTTTTATAAAAATAAAAAAAAATATTTTTTTTATTCTTGACTTTGTTGTTGCATTTGTTCCATTTGTTGCATTTGTTGTTCTTGAGCTATTTGTTGTTGAAGTTGTTCTTGTAATACAATACTTTCACCAGTTGCATCTTCCAATTCGAAACTTTCTGCCGTCATTGACAAATACATAGGACATAAAAGTTTTACAGGAACAAAGTTTGCGTCGACTAATGTCAACGTTATGTTTGCCAAAGTGTTTGAGTTCACTAAAGCTGAAAACTCTGCATTCGAATGAACAATAGGCAAACCAGCAGAGAATGTGTTGTTTATACGCATGAGTATCTTTTGGTCATAGTAGTTTCTGTCGATATTCGAATAGCACTTTGAACCTAAGTTTGAAACAATATATAAAATAGGTGTGCTTAAAGTCAATGGAACAGACATTCCTTGTATGACACCTTTTCCTGTTATAGGAAACTGTTGGTAGTAAAAACCAGATATAAGTTTTGTATTATAGCTCATATCGTTTATACTAAACTCAGTCGGACATCCAAACATAATGAAACCTGCTCTAGTTGCAGCACATGTTACATCCGTCCTTAAAGTATTAAATAAGTCAACAAAACCTGTTGGTGGTATATCTGAGTAAGTATCTTCAAAGAAGTATTTTTTACCATTCACAACAACAAAGTCTTCTGGTGTCAAAAGAGCAAAACAGGCTTTAGTCGTCATCGTGTTTAAGGTCAGTTTACAATATCGTCCTTGAGGACTTTGTAAGTTTGTTGTTATAGAATTATATGACTCAGGGTTTTTAGTCGTAATAGTATAAACCACTATGTCTTCTGCCATTTACTTAGCAAGTAAATTTTAATGAAATGTTGTGGTCGTCAAATATTTTTATGACGTCTGGGAAACTATATTTTAAGTTCAAGGTTTCACCTCCTTTCATAACGTATATCTTGTCAATGACATTATATGAAACACCACAGCAAGCAATGTCAGGTTCTATTTCTTTGATGTTTATATCGTCTGCCTCTGTCAAAAGTTTCAATAGTTCTTTCAAAACTTCATGAGGTGCGATGACATATGAGTTCACTTTTACAGGGTTGTGTTCGACCAAGTTTAACATTATACCCAAAGCTTGACAAATCTTCTCCTGAGTTTTAAGTTTGTCTTTAAGTTGTTGGTAGTCGTTTCGAATATCTGCAACAGAACTTAAGTCTCTGCTAACTTCAGGGTATGTTGGTTGTTCTTTTACAGGAACTATTGTTATACCATCTTCGTCTTCGTATGGTTTCCCCACTTCAACATCTCTTTCTTTGACATTGACAACAACACTTTGACTGTTTGTTTGAGTTGGTGAATTTAACTTCACATCTGCCACCGCCATTAAACCTTTTGAAACACTTACGCTTCTATTTTTCGGAAATGACATTTTACTTAGAATAAAAAGATGGACGTATTTGAGTATCTCTTCGAATTGAAGCAAAACAAAGTTTACACACACAAACAATACAAGTTCATTGACAGAATAGTTCTTTATACAAACAATGGAAAATGTTATAGAATAGCAGTCTTTGCTGAACCAAAATATTTTCATAAAGCAAAGAAAGTTGGTATAACCGAGATGGTGAAAGTTCTTGAAGCAGACAAAAATATAACAACAAAACTGACCGATATTTCTAAAGGAAAGTTTATAATACAATTTTATGTCAAAACTGGCGTACTGTCAATATTTGACGGAGAGAAGTCAGTTCAAGAACAACTTACTGACCTGCTGCCAAAATCTGCTCGATGGAAGCTGTCGTTATGCCAATCTGAGGAGCCCAGCAGGTTTCATCGAACGAATCTTCAAAAGAGCATCTTCCGTGAAAAGTGCTATTGGTTTTGTAAACTTCTTTGCTTTCAATTCATCTGGACCGTCTCTGTCACCAGTATATTGTATTTGAACTGTACCAACAGTTGAAATACCACCCATAAAGTCTTCTGAGTCAGCAAATGGAATGCCAAGCCAAAAGTTTGAACGGTCTCCATTTGTATATTGAGTTTTTTGACCTCCTGTATGAGTCCATACTTTCACATATGGCATAATAGAACTTTGCATTTCAGGGTTAATGGTTGTTGTGAAGTTGTTGTTAAAGTTCATAGCATCTAATGTCAAGTTGTATGACCTCATATCCTCAACTGTAGAATATTCTTCTCTTGGATAATATTTGCCATCTATGTTTATATGGTATTTAATACCAGGGTTGTAGAAGCAAGAATAGTCATTTATAGTTCGTCTGAACAGTACAAACATAGTATCTGCATGTTTCATTGCAGTTGTTAAGGCAATATCTGTTCTTGCACCTGCGGTTCCTGGATTTTGGTTTCCAACTTCACCTGCAAAGTCTTTGACAGATATTTGGTGTATAGGGAACATAAGTGGAACTGCAATATATTTGGCAGCTAAAGCATTTGAAATATCTGGGTCCAACATATAGACTGCAAGTCTGCTTTCTATTCTCTTGCATTCAAACTTTTCGCATGTGAACTTAACTGGGTCCCAAGCATCTCCAGCAGCATTGAGCATTGAAATAATAGTTTACTTCAGTGTTGAGGTTTGAGAAACCAAAGTCTAAGTCAACTTTGTTTTTGCAAAAGTCGGCGAATGACATTTTATTTGTTCCCACTACTTCTGTAAGAGTGAATGGGTCTTGTGTTGGTGCAATGACTAAGTTATTTTTGCTTGGAGTAAGTTCGATAGAAATTTTTCCTGCCCAGTTTGGCAAGTATCTTAAAAACCTGAAGATGAGGAAAGATGACAAAGGAACTCTAAGTTTCAGTTTTACTTTAGTGGCAGCAATTCCATCTGAACCAGAAAGGTTAACATAAACTCCTGGAACGTTAGGGTCAAGTCTTCTTATTTTCTCAATAGTTGCATACTGGTCTGTTTGTTCTCTAGCTTGTGGTTGTACTGAGTTTCTCAAAGCGAACCATTCATAGTTTGCCCATGTTACTGTTTGAACTAAGTCAGAGTTAGAATATATCTTATATCCCATGAAAACTTCTGGAGCATATTGGTATCCGACATAGAAAATTCCATTGCAACCTTTCTTGTCAGACAACTTGGCAGAAGGTTTTATTTCAATGTCTTGTTCCACGTATAAGAATGAGTTGTCAATAGAAATAATATGAAACCTGTCGCAAGCAATATCTACTGTTGTTGAAGAACCTTCTCCAAACTCACCTACGTTTCCATAAGAAACAGCAGTTGTATATTCGTAAGTTCCAGGAACTATTTCTGACCTTCTAATGGCATTGTCGCATTCGTTATACCATTCGGAAACATTTCCATTCATGGCATCCAAAACTGTTGGCGTTATATTCTGAGCGGCGTACATTTCATATGAGTAAAAATATAGAATAGTTGGATTTATATGTCATAATAGAACCCACTCCGACCAAGCTTTACTTTCTTCCTGACTGAGTTTTTAACTCTTCTTTTTCCTTCATTGCCCTCTGCTTGAAGTTGTTGCATCTTTGCCTCATGTTCATCTAGTATGTTGCAAATTTCCCATGTCCTTTTTGCCTTTTGGCTCTGGTCGCCCATCTCAGGTAACCTATATCCTAGAAAGAGTTTGTCATAGTCTGTATTTGAGTCTTCGCGTATTGTTTGCATGACTCTTTCCTGAGTTTCCGGTTCAAGCTCTTCAAACAGTGCCTGTCCATATGGAATATGCTCGTTTCCAAATATATGTTTTTGTAGCCATTCTGGTTTTCTTTCCATGTTACCAACTATATCTTTTGTGAATGGGAAAGCTTTTACCCAATCTTTCAGTCTTGCGTCGTTTATTTCTGTAGTTGGTTTTATTTTGTCAAGGAACATGTTTTTCAATACTAACATTTCATTTGGTACTGTCCATTTGAGTTTTCTTAAATATTCATCCCTTCTCGGTTCATTGTCTGCAAAGTAAGTTTTTATGACATTTTGTAAACTTTCGTTTGCAAGGTCATGTACAATAGGTTCTCTTCTTCTCCCTCCCTAACTTTCTTTCTAAACTCTTCACCAAATATACCATCTCTATGGTTCTGTGTAGTTCTTTGAGATAAATGTTCTAGAACGTCAGGTGTTATATTTCCATCAGCCATGTTCATTTCATACTGGTCCAAAATATCTGCATCTTTCATATCTTTCAATGGCATTAAAGCCGCGCTGAAAATACCAGCTATATCTGGTTCACCATTGACTTCCATTGCGTCTACAACTTCTTGGAATTGAGGTTGTAAGTTTATGAACCACCTATCCGGGTTAGCTTTATGACCCCATCTCATTGTAGTTCCATCGTCTGCAGAAACAAAAGTAGGTTTGTTTCCATCTTGGTTAGGTTCTGAATGAACTTTAAACAATGTTTCATTTCTATATGTTTTCTTGAAATTTAACCTTTTATCTTCACCGAGTTCATCCGAAGATTGAACGTTAAATGCTCGTAAGTAAAAAGGGTTGTTGTATTTGTGTACATTTTTTTTCAGTTCTTCCATTCTATGCTGGATATTTTCATCTGATGTTGGAGTCTTTTGTATGTCGGCAAACATTTTTCGATATTCTTCTACTATGTCAGCCGAATTTTTTTTAGACTCTTGGAAATATTCCATATTCTCCGCATACTCTTGTTGAGGGTCAAGATTTTTCGGCTGTTCCAAATCTTCATCTAGTTCTGTGAAGTTAGTTTCCAAAGGAAGGACTTGTTCGTTTCCTTCAGGCTCTTCTAGCTTTTGTTGCTGAACTATTTCTTCCATGTCTGGTTGTATCTGAACTAGTTCTTCCTGTGGAGTTTCTTGTACCTCATCTGCTGGCATTTCATATATTCCGAGACCGTTTTCAACAAGTTCCCTTTCTAAGTCATCCGGACTCATAAACCTTTCTTCTTTCGTTCCGTCTCTATTTTTTACGCGTTTCATGAAGAGAGTTAAATTGTCATTTAGCTCTGACATCAAATATCTCGGAGTAAATTCGTTCATGTCATTTGGATGATATGCTATTAAATCATATCCCTTAGCGAGCTTGTATTTTCCAGGTTTGAAATTATATCCCCTTTGGTGCAGAGCCATAAAGCTAAATAGGTTCGGGTCAGTATTTCCATCCTTGAACTTTCTAATAGCTTCTTTATATCTGTCACTAAAGTCAATACTATCTGGGTAACCATAGTCTTCTTTAAGCATTTTTAAGAATTCTTGGTTTCCTTGTTCTCTACTTCTTTTATGTCCTTGCTCTGTTTGTGGTTGTTGTTGTGCTGGTTGTGGTGCAGTGTTTTGAACTGTTGGTTGTTGTGTTGGTTGTTGTGCTGGTTGTGGAGGTGGTTGTTGTGCTGGTTGTTGTGCATGCCTGTGTCTGTGTCCATGTGACGATGTAAATGTTCTAGGTAGTCCTGGTGCAGGTGCTTCTCTTGGAGGGTTTGGTGGTATATAAGTTCCACCAGCTGGCACATATGTTCCATCTGCAGCGTAATGTCCTACCTGACTTTTCGTTTTTAAGAAAGCATTTACTAGGTCTGTTTTGGTCTGTTGTAACTCTTTTTCTTGACTTTTCACAACAGTTGCTCTAACGGCGTCATAGGCACTTTGAACTGCCTGTCTCGTTGCTGCATCTGTTATTTTCGTCATATTTTGTGCTACTTCTTTTAACTCTTTGTCGAAACCTTCAGACTTCAGTTTCTTTCCAGATGAGAAGTCGTTCACTTGTTTCACCTTACTATGAAGAGCTTCGAAAGCGTTCTTAAAGTCAGCATTTGTTAAAGCTTCATTTGAACTATCTTCATCCGCTTGTATTTTTGTCCTTATTGACCCTATGAGTTGGGCTGCTTTAGCGTTGGCTTGGGCATCTAACCAGTCATTGTTAGCTTTTATATATTCTGCACTTTTCATTGCCTTTTGCATGGCTGCGTCGTTATTTTTACTTTCTTGTGCTAAGTTTTCATACTGTACGGTTTGGTTTTGCAACTGTAAAAGTTTTTCTGCCTTTACATTTGCTTCAACTTCTTTTTTATACTCATCGCTATCCATATATGTCTTCAGGGCTTTTTGTTTTATCTCTTCATCTTTCAGTATTTTATATTGAGTAGTATGGTTTTTCAAATTTATGACATCTTGTTCCATTTTTGCTACTTCTGCTGCTTTTTCTGACACTTTTTTTGCATATTCCTCTGTACTTAGTTCTTTCAGTTGTTCTTCTTTCTTCTTTTTCTCTACGTTTAACTCATTGAGTTTCTTTGTGTGTCTGTCATATTCTAGTTTTTTTCGTTTTCACTTATTTGCTTCTGTATGTCTATGTTTGACTTTTTGACATCTGTTATTTGATTTTTGAGTGAACTCAAATTCATTTGACTTTGAGGGTTATAGGCTGTTCCGTCTGCAGCTCCACCATAGCCTGCCATTTTCGCTAAAAGTGCCGCTCTTAAACCTCCACTCTGTGCACCAACAACTCGGTTTAAAAGCATAGGATTGCTTGACATTTGTTGCAACATAGTGGGGTCATTCATCATTTGTTGTTGCAACTGTTGTTGTGGTGTCAGTTTTACTATTGGATGTTTCAATGCTCTCTTCCTCTTACGTATATTCTTACGTAGCTTACGTGGCATTTTAAGTGAAGTTAAAAAGCGGTTTTTGACAGATGTTTTGTTGTGACTTCTTCATAAAGACTTTGTTGAGATTTCTTCATAAATGAGTGTAAATGACCCAAAAATATATTTTATGTTAGAATGTTAGATCTAACATGTTTTCTAACATGTTTTCTAACATGGTCTAAAACATACAAAACTCATGAAATTTCATACGGAATTCAATAAAAATATATTTTATGTTAGAATGTTAGATCTAACATGTTTTCTAACATGTTTTCTAACATCGTAGAAAACTCATGAATTTCTTCGTAAAGACTTTGTTAAGACTTCTTCATCTAATTTCTCATGAACTTTCTTCGTAAAGACTTTGTTGAGATTTCTTCGTAAAGACTTTGTTAAGACTTCTTCATCTAATTTCTCATGAACTTTCTTGTCTATGTTTTGTTAAGATTTCATCGTAAAGACTTTGTTGAGATTTCTTCGTAAATGACCCTAGTAGTATATTTTTGGTGTAAATTTCATGAAAATTCACGATGTTAGAAAACATGTTAGAAAAGGTGTTAGATCTAACATTCTAACATAAACATTATTTTTGGTGTAAATTTCATGAAAATTCACGATGTTAGAAAACATGTTAGAAAAGAGGTGAAATCTCACCTCTTCACCTAAAATATATTTTTGGTGTAAATTTCATGAAAATTCAACGGGTGAAAAATTAGGTGAAAAAACAGGTGAAATCTCACCTCTTCACCTAAAATATATTTTTGGGTCCTTTACGCTCATTACGATGAAATCATGACAAAACATTTACGAAGAAGTCTTGACAAAACATATACGAAGAAGTCTTGACAAAGTCTTTACGATGAAATCATGAGTTTTCAACGATGTTAGAAAACATGTTAGAAAACATGTTAGATCTAACATTCTAACATAAAATATATTTTTGTCTGATTTTACGATGAAGAAGTCTTGACAAAACATTTACGAAGAAGTCTTGACAAAGTCTTTACGATGAAATCATGAGTTTTCAACGATGTTAGAAAACATGTTAGAAAACATGTTAGATCTAACATTCTAACATAAAATATATTTTTGTCTGATTTTACGATGAAGAAGTCTTGACAAAACATTTACGATGAAGAAGTCTTGACAAAACATTTACGAAGAAGTCTTGACAAAACATTTACGAAGAAGTCTTGACAAAACATCCTCAGGGCTAGAAGGCACGAAGTGCCTGGGAGCCCCACTACCTTTTTTTTTTTTTTTTTTTTTTTTTTTTTTAATAGTGTTACCAAACATCGGGCAACATCATACGTATAATACAACTTTTTCGTACTTCTTTATCGAATTTAAATAGAACTAAGTTTTTATTTTAAATAAAAGAGAAATAATTCTAATTTATAATCTCATTATTAATTTATTCTCATTTTAATATTTCATCGATTTTTTATTATCGATATTCAATACAAATGAATTCATATTATAATAGTATCTAGTATAACTAGGTATTCTATCACAGTATTTCTTCAATTTATTATAATATTTCAGCATTTTTTAGTTTCAATGCTGATTTGTTCCTTAGCTTGTAAACTATAGTTACTTTATATCTTCGGCTATTATCCTATTCAACTTAGACGTAAAAAATTAAATAACGTATAAATATAATTTTAATGGTAAAAGATTAAATGTTTATTCCGTATGTAATGTGATTTGATTTGGATGGTAAGATAAGTTTCGGTATAATTGATTAAGAATTGTTGAATAAAATTCTGGAACTTCGTCAATTTCTTTGATTCCCTCTTCCTCGCAATACAACTCCATATCATTAACTTGTATTTAAAGGCTTCCATATACAAAACTATATATAATGTTTGAAAGTTAAATCCAATCTTTTTCTATTTCTAAAAAAAATTGAGACCTAAACACGAGATAGCTTTCAGAAAATTTTCAGGGACATTTTTAATCATTTTTTTTATTTATTGTAATATCTTTGTTATTAAATTTGAATTGTTTAATATTTGAATGTAAAGAATTGAATAGTAATAATTTTAGTTTTAATACATAGCTAATTGCTAAGCAAAATAATTAATTTATTGTAATTTTGACATGTAAACTAAAGGGAAATTTAGCCGGCCAAATATATGTCACTTTTTGACTTCACCTCACTTCCGCCATTTCGTCTTATGACAGTTCCCAGGACCGGATTCATCTCCTTCCCTTGATCAGAAGGGCATTTGTGAAAGCCAGACCTGAGAACTGTCAGCGAGATCCTGGTCTCTTGTTATCAAAAAGTGTAACAAAATCATGTTTAAAATATTACCTTTTTTATTAATTACTTACATTTGACTTTTACTTAAGGGATCACCGCTTTAGTTTACAACTATTCAATTTTCGACACTTCGAGGTCTATTTTCTCTTGATAGAATAGATATCATTCTGCATAACCATGACCGTAACATGTCCATACCATTATCTACCTATTTGTCGTTTCAGATATCAATAAGAAGAGATTTGATCAAAACCTTAAACATTGGAGTTTCCACTGAGAGCCCGCTGATCAAGATTTCTCAAAATTGGTCCATCCGATGTTCATTTTTTATTGAAATAATATGTTTAAATATGATTAAGAGTCTATATCTTCATTATTGAAAAAAGTCAACAACCCAAATCTAGAGGACTTTCTGCGCTTCACCACACTAGATATTTGAATACTTTTTTCGAAAATTTGCACATAAGATAGTATTGTATCATTGATTATATATTTCATAATATTGGTCGCTAATTCTTTGTTGTTATACCATTTTTAAAGCAAATGTTAAAAATTGAATAGTTGTAAACTAAGGCAGTGATCCCTTTAAAAAAGGTACATTCACGAAAAGTGACACCCCTCTTCTTTTTTCCTAGGGTTACTGATCGCTTTCTTTCTGCTCGCCATGCCAGAAACGAAAGAAATGATTGATGCAGAATAATTTATTACTCCAATTGGCAACTATCTTGTAATATACAATTAGTTGCATTGTCAGTTATTCTCCAGTATTATTCAATTTAAGTTCAACTTCTTTAATTTAAATCATACTGCAGCTATACCCTCGCGTTGAGATAAGAACAAGATTACACATGCTAAAATCCCACATTAAAAATCGAAATTTTGCAACTCCAAAATGCAACGACAGAATTCCTCGTAATTTTGTTTTTTTCCTTCCTTATGATACATATTCAAATGACTTGAATATAGAAAAAGTTACTAAGATTTGAGGAAATCATTGCAATAAGAAATTAAAAATCGGTTTTATTATATAAGTTACTTATGTATTAAAATGACCTCTATAATTAGTGTACAGTGCCTCACATAATCTTTGGATATTTCTGATTTCAAATTTATACATTTTGATTGGAATATTCATAACTCAAATCTAGATGATAGTTACTACATTTATGCGATACAGTACGTATCCATTCATCTATTTACTTGTTGTTGTTGAAATAAAAACGTTATTATTTTACTATCTTAAAATAAGAATTTTGTTATAGTATTAATATTTTCATCAACAATGATGACATTATATCAACTCTTAAAATGACATTTTATCAAATATGATATCAAAATCAAAATTAGGTGTTTTTTATGAGTAAAAACGTGTTAATTTGATGATTTGGCTAATTATACAATACTTTTATTTTCCAAATTTTTTGTAATTGATTTTTTCAAGAGAAAATCAGATTTTTGATTTTCATTTTTGAATTTTTGAATTTTTTTTGGAATTTTGAATTGATCAATTAAGCAGAATGAGTTATGGGAATGCTTTATACATCTCACAATGTGATGAATTAAAGACGAATCTTAAAAAATTATTTAAAATCACAAATATCATCCTTAT